CCAGCAGGACACTCAGCAATAGGTCAGTGTAGACTGGAGCCCTTGCTCTCTGCAGTCGCTTCTCCTGTTTACCACATATCCACTTCATTGATGTTGGACTTTACAAATGGGTCAGATGATGCCCCTCCACTGTCTTCATCGCAATGATATCAAGAGCGTCATTTCACCCCTCCCCCCAAACCACAACCTTAAGAACAATTTGGGTCGACCACACAGTCACGACTAAAGCAAAATAAATCAAATCAATGCTGAACATGAAAGACAGAACACACGAACCGTTAATGCCATCCCAGGAACAATTATTTTTTCTCCCTTAAAAACATGTAACAGTCAAGTCAGGTTTACAATCTCCAGGGACAGTGTCATAAAGCAAGGACGATCAAACCATTTTTGCCTTTGTTACTTATACATTGTGATAGAATGTAAACAACGAAGACAATTGACTGCACATAGGCACGCTTTCTCCTTTCTCTTTGAAAGGAAGTCATTGAAAAATTAAAGTTAAAATGTCATTGGAAGCGTCAGCTTTTTTGGGGGGAGAGAGTCACACATATACCGAGCGTTTATTTTTTGTGCAGTATCTTTTTGGATTAGCAGAATATAAATTCACTGGCCCTGCAGTGAACCCAACACTGCAGCAAACTTCTCCAACTCTTGTTGATTCTGGATCGGCCAAAAGCAGATGTTTCCTCTCAGCTTTCCTAACAGCTCCCATGGCGTGTGTTTGATACCACTTCAATAATCAAGCAGCCTTCACACCGTGACATGTTCTGCTTCACTGAGTCAATGTAACTCCACAATATAATTTTTTGTTATTTTACGCTCAGTACCAGACAAACTTAGATACCAGCGTCACTGGAAGATCTGTTCATTTAGTTCAATTCTTTTTAGCGAAAAATGAATTCACAAACGAGTCACAAGTGACCACCCTGCACCCCTCCACCCCCACCCTTACTAAGCATCTTCCACCTTTAGTTGGCTATTCTTGAATGGATGTGTTGCTATGATTTTTTTAAAAAAAGTTTAGTGCGTACAATAACTTTCCTAATTTTCACTAGTAAATGCCTCTGTGGTCCTGATCCCCAGCCTCCTCTTGTTGGGGTGCAGTTCCATGGGCACTGGTTACCTTCCAGTTACTGTGCCCAAGTGACTCTTGTTCATGTGTGAGCCTTGGCAATGAGTGTTAGCAGGTCACTCGATTGTCGAAGGATTTACAGCCTGGATTTACTGTAGACTTGATGAACTGAATTGCCTCCTTCTGCACTGCAGATTTCTGTGTTTCTAGTGTTTCATTCAGAGAATATATTGAAAATATAGTAATAATAATCCTTACATTTGATACAGCACCTATTCATGTTGTCAAGACGTCTCAAAACGCTTCACAGAATATACTGTAAAGTGATTTGACTGTATTTTGTGGGCGAAGTACACTAGTTGTTGAGATGGCAATTCAAAAATAATACCTGGATAAATGTAATCTGAGGCATATGTGAGGCTGCTCATGTAAAGCATGAGTAACAAAGTTATCAGTGAGTTATGATCAACTTCACAAGCGGAGGTACAGTCTTCATTTTGTGCCACTAGTATAAAAGAAATACAATTCTTACATTAAGCTTGCCAGACAGTACCTCAATAGCAAGCTATCCAGTTTTAGGTGGTTACACTCTAACAGTACCGTAACACACACTCTGTGTCCCCAAGCCTTGGATCTTGCCAACCTGTGTCAGCCTGGCACAGTTGGTAGCACTCTCGCCTTTAACTCAAAAGGTTCTGGGTTCAAGCCTCACATCGGTACTTTGAACGCATAAAATCTAAGATGAAACTCCAATGCTGTGGTGAGAGGAGTACTGCATTGTCCTAAATGAAGTTCTCCAAATAAGGTATTAAATCAAAATCCCATCTGCCTGTTCAGATGGATATTAAAAGATCTGTGATACTATTTGCAAAAAGATAGGATTTTTTTCTCGATAATCCTGGCCAGAAATCCTCTAAAATAAATTGGTCAATCACCTGCTGGGTGTTTGTGGGACACTGGGAAATTAGCTGCTGTGTTCACTGATAAATACACGGTTCTCGTTGTAAGGCAAGGAAGGTTTGCAAGTAAGGAAGTGTCCACTGGACCATCAAAGACTTGGATGCATGCCTACCATTAAACCGTTCAGGATGAGGACACATAGCAGTAATCAATGTGCTTTGAGATGTTTAAACATTATAGTGCCATATCAAATTCAAGGATTATTATTATTATGAGATTACACATCTTGTGCAAATGACACACATTACAGCACAGACAGCGGTCATTCAACCCATCGAGCCTTTGTTAGAGCTTGCTCCTCCAAATCATTTTGTAGGCAATCAAATCAAATAAACATAAGGTTAAAAATAAAGATTAAATAGTTTTTGTAATTAAAATGGTTGGAGATAAATGCAAACCAGTCCTTAATTTCACAAAACTGATCAGTTTGTCTTTGACTGCTGCAGAGTAAGGCAGTTTCAAGGCAAAATGGTCTGATCCCAGGAAAGTATCCTTTTAACAACTCTCTTAATTATAGAAATTCTGCACTAGCTTTTATGACAAGTTGCTTCACTTATTTTCTCTGGATATCATGTTCAATCACAATACAGTGCAAATCTGCCATGAGTGGGGAAAAAAAGTTCTATCCTTGACTTTTTATAAATTTTTGTTCAGTTCAAATACGCCTCTAAGCCTGGGTTTCAAGGCGATCCTGATTATTTTAACATTAATCATTTTTTCTTCTGTCCAGTTAATAATAACCAGTTGTGTTGTCTTCTTAGACGCCTCCAAACAGCAAAAAGCCATTTCAGCATGTGGCAGGCTGCCATCACAGGAAATAAGACCAGCACAATTACACCAAAACTGCACTGGAGAATCAGTGGGAATCAGTCAGGCCCTGTGGAGCTGTGCTTTACTAACTAATGCTTCATAAATTGCCGTACGCCTGGGTTTGTGTGCTCTTTTCCCTTTTAATGGGGGAGCCAGAGCCTCTTCCAATCTTTTTAAGTCAATATGTGACAGAAGAAATGGCTAGTTTCCCAGAGAGCCTTTCTTTCCCTGCTTTGAAAATGGGAATTTTGTCCCAATTTTTAACTTCAGTGCCCCTTTCTATTTTACTCATGGAAAAGTTGCTGTAAATACACATGTTGAGGAAGCTTAGCTTTTAATACAGGCTGCATACAGATATTGAATCATTTCCTAAGGTGCTGCCAGCATTCATCCATTTAGAGGCATGTGCAAGAACACAATATATTTCAGGCAAAAGTAATTAATAGACAAACACACACATATTTAAAATGTAGCAGCAATACTTGGGTAGTGAAATGATCCAGGTGTTGCAGTTTGACTAAATAAATACAGAACTTCAGAAACACTAACTAAATTCAACAACAGGCAGTAAAGCAATACAATACTTTACATCTGTGTATAAAGCACACAGATGTAAAAATGACAATATACCAAATATTCCCATTTATATCCGAGTAAAAACACTCAACAACAACAACATCATGGATTTATATAGCGCCCTCCATGCCAGACAGCGTCTCAGAGTGCTTTACAGTAACGGATCCTGGGGCCGAGCCAGGTTTTCAGAGAGAGGTATTGGCGGAGATGGGCGATGCGTCGAAGGTGGAAGAAGGCGGTGCTGGTGAAGGACCGGATATGGGGTAGGAAGGATAATTGGGGATCGAACCTAACGCCTAGGTTGCGTACTGGTTCGGAGAGTTTTAGGGGGAGGTCGGGTAGGTGGAGGAGGTGAGAGCCATGAGATTTTAGACGTTGACAGGAGACAAAGAGTATGGCTTCCGTCTTGTCAACGTTCAGCTGAAGGAAATTTGCGCTCATCCAGCCCCTGAGATCTGACAGGCAGGCTGACAGAACATCAGGGGACTGGGGGTCGCAAAGAGAGGTGGAAAAATAGAGCTGGGTGTCGTCCGCGTACGTGTGGAAATGTACCCCATGCCTGCGGATGACATCCCCAAGAGGGAGCATGTAGATCAGAAAGAGGAGGGGCCAAGGATGGATCCTTGGGGTACCCCGCAGGTAACTGGGTGAGAGCGGGAGGAGAAGCCGTTTGTGCAGATGTACTGCTGGCGGTTTGTGAGGTAGGACTCGAACCAGGCGAGTGCGGTCCCACTGAGATAGATGACGGAGGAAAGGCGGTGGAAGAGGATGGCGTGATCAACTGTGTTGAATGCAGCGGAGAGGTCCAGGAGAACAAGGAGGCAGAGGGAGCCCTGGTCACAGATAGAGAGGATGTCGTTTGTGACTTTCACAAGCGCAGTCTATGTACTGTGGGCAGGGCGGAAACCGGACTGGAGGGGTTCGAAGAGGGAGTGGGAGGAGAGGTCTGTGCGAAGTTGATTGCCAACAATGTGTTCTAGGACTTTTGCGAGGAAGGGCAAGTTGGAAATGGGGCGGTAGTGGCTGGGGTTTGAGGGATCTAGGGAAGATTTTTAAGGAGGCGGGTGATGACAGCAGTTTTGAGGGGGGCAGGGTGTGATCCAGAGGAGAGGGACTGATTGATGATGTCAGCCAGTCGTGGGCAGAGGAGGGGGAGCTGGGTGACCAGCAAGGTGGTGGGGAGGAGATCGAGGCAGCAGGTGGTGGGTTTCATGGAGGTGATGGTGGGTGAGAGGGAGGAGGGAAAGATAGGGAGAAAGTAATGTAGGTTGGGGGTGGTGGTAGGAGCAGATGATGGGGAGGGTGAGGGGGACAGAGAGGGAGTGGTGGTGGGTGACAGGAGGCAGGTGGATGAGGATGATAACAAAAACTCAAGTTTTTGTTAAACAAGAAAGCAGCCGGTCGGTTTCTTAATCATTACGTCAATCAGTCTAGATGTGATCCACCTGCCCTCACACACACATAAACATATACACATCACTGCTGCTCTTAATAGTTGCATATGCTCCAAACCCGCCAGCTCCTTGCATTAAAAAAAACTACTGACATTGCCAAGACTGAGTAATCTATTTTTCCATACCTGTCCAGTGCCATGCTGGTCGGCATGCTTCGTGCGAATCCTCGGACGCCTGTGTGCTGGAAGTATGGAATACAGAAGATGTTGGCAGCAATCACAGCAAGAGAGTCCGAGGGGTTGACGAAGAATCCATTCTGGCCGAGGATCATGTTGCGTTCCTGATAAGAACAGAGTGCCTTTACCATTAGAGTCTCAATCAGCAATTATAATAATACTAGCTGTACCTGTTGCAGTTACGCTTGAAACCAAAGGATCCAATATGGAATGTAGATTGACACAGACAGACACACAGACAAACATTTCATCTTTATCTACACTCATCTGGGAAGACTCATGTGGGAGGACTCCGTTTGGGAGGACTCAGTGGGAGGGCTCGGCGTTTTAAAAATGTAATTTTGTTGTTGTTGCTGTGGCTTAGCTTCATCTGTGCTCTTTATTCTGTTCCCGCCACTTGGTTACGTGCGTGATCTGTGACGCAGGATGCCACAGCGCCACGGTCAGCCAGCATAGCCACCAGATGTAACTGCAGTATGCGCGTACTTACATAGGTGCTCTGTGACATGTGATGCCACAGTGCCACTTTGACTTGGCAGCCACCAGGTGTAACTGCAGCAAAAAACGCAAAACTGAAAATATCTCATGAGCGATATGAGATATCCCAAAAATAAATATGCCCATGTCACTCGCAACTGCAAGACCTTTCTGATGAGGTATGAATCATGTCACTATGTCAATTAGATATAGAGATCCTTCTTGAAGTGCAGACATACATTACCGTTTTGTTAGCATAGAAGATTAATCCTTGCATTTGATATGACGGCTTATCACATTATCGAGATGTCTCAAAGCACTTCATAGAATATAATGTAAAGTGAATTGACTGTATATTTTGGGGGCGAAACACGGCAGCCAATCGCGTACAGTAGTGTCCCACAAACAGTTGTGGATTGAGCGTCCAAATTTAATGACTTAAATTTTTCTAAGGGATTATGACCCCCAGAAAATGATCCACTAATCGACTAACAACCACTAATAGTGGGTGATTTTAATCTTCATATAGATTGGGAAACTAAATTGGCAAAAGTAAGTTAGAGGAGGAGTTTATAGAACGCATTAGAGATAGTTTTCTAGATCAGTTTGCTGAGGAACCAACCAGGGAACAGGCGATCCTAGATCTTGTTTTATGTAATGAAATAGGGCTAATCAGCAATCTAGAAGTTAAGGCTCCTCTAGGGCAGAGTGACCATAACATGATGGAATTTAGCATTAAGTTAGAGAGCGATGTAGTTAAGTCCGAAGCAAGGGTCTTAAATTTAACTAGCGTCAACTTTGCAGGTGTGAGAGAGGATTTAGCTAAAATAGACTGGGGAATTAGATTAAAGGATATAACAGTAGACCAGCAATGACAAACCTTTAAACATATACTACATAATTCCCAGCGATCACATATTCCCTTGAGGAATAAAAATACCATGGGAAAAGTGGTTCAACTATGGCTAACTGGGGCAGTTAGGGAAAGTATAAAATTAAAAGAGATCTATAATACTGCCAAAAAGAGCAGTAAACCCAAGGATTGGGAGGGCTTCAGAGACCAACAAGGAAACTGATTAGGAGGGAGAAAATGGATTATGAGGGCAAACTATCTAGGAACATAAAGACAGACTGCAAGAGTTTTTACAAATACATAAAGAGGAAGAGACTATCAAAAGTGAATGTGGATCCATTACAGGCAGAGACAGGATGAATTATAATGGGGGATAAAGATATGGCAGAGTCATTAAACAAATAATTTGCTTCTGTCTTCACGTTAGAAAACACTGAAAACTTACCAAAAATAGAGGGGAACCAAGAAGCTAATGTTAGTGAACAAATTAGGGAAATTAACATCAGTAAAGAATTAGTACAAGGGAAACAGTTGGGATTGAAAAATGACAAATCCCATGAACCTGATGGCCTGCATCCTAGGGTTTTAAAAGAGGTGGCTGCTGAGATAGTGGATGCCTTGTTTTTGATCTTCCTAAATTCTCTGGATTCTGGAACGGTTCTCAGTGATTGGAAGATTGCAAATGTAACACCACTATTAAAGAAGGATGGGGAGAGAGAAGATGGGGAACTATGGACCAGTCAGTCTGACATCGGTGGTAGGGAAAATTCTAGAATCCTTAATTAGGGACGTTGTAGTGAGGTACTTAGAAGACCATAACATGATTAGGCCGAGCCAACATGGCTTTACAACAGGGAAATCATCCGTAACAAATCGTTTAGAGTTTTTTGAGAATGTAACTAGCAGGTTAGATAGGGGTGAATCAGTAGATGTAGTGTATTTAGATTTTCAGAAGGTATTCGACAAGGTGCCACATAAAAGGCTACTACACAAGATTAAGGCCCATGGAATTAAAGGCAATATATTAGCATGGATCGAAGAGTGGCTAACGGGAGGAAAACAGTGAGTAGGGATAAACGGGTCCTTCTCAGATTGGCAAGATGTGACTAGTGGAGTGCCACAAGGATCAGTGCTTGAGCCTCAACTATTTACAATCTATATCAGTGATCTAGACGAGGACATAAAACTTAAAATATCTAAATTGCCAAATGATACTAAGCTAGGTGGGAGAGTAAGCTCTGAGGATGACCAAAAAGATTGCAAAGGGATATAGATAGGCAAGGTGAGTGGGCAAGAAGGTGGCAGATGAAATATAATGTGGGGAAGTGTGAAGTTATTCACCTAGGTAGTAAAAACAGAAAAGCAGATTATTTTCTAGAGGGGAAGAGACTAGATAGTGTTAGTGTTCAGAGGGATTTGGGCGTCTTTGTCACAAAAAGTTAGTATGCTAGCACAGCAAGCAACTAGGAAGGCTAATGGCATGTTGGCATTTATTGCAAAAGGGTTAGAATACAAGAGTAGAGAAGTCTTGCTGCAACTGTATAGGACCTTGGTGAGACCGTACCTAGAATATTGTGTGCAGTTTTGGTCTCCTTATTTAAGAAAGAACATACTCGCCTTAGAGGGGGTGCAGCGTAGATTTACTAGGTAAGTTCCTGGGATGAGGGGGTTGACCTATGAGGACAGGTTGAGTAAACTAGGCCTATATTCTCTAGAATATAAACGAATTAGGGGTGATCTTATAGACACCTATAAGATTCTTATGGGGCTTGACAGAGTAGACAGTGTGAGACTGTTTCCCCTGGTAGGAGAATCTATAACTATGGGTCACAGTCTTAAGATTAAGGATCAGCCCTTTCAAACAGAGTTGAGGAAACACTTCTTCACTCAGAGGGTAGTGAATTTATGGAATTCTCTACCGCAGAAGGCTGTAGATGCTCAGTCCTTGAACATATTCAAGACTGAGATTGATAGATTTCTAAAGAATAGAAGGATTAAGGGATATGGGGATAAGGCGGGCAGATGGAGTTAGATTAGAAGATCAGTCATGATCTTTTGAATGGCTTTTGAATGGCGGGGCAGACTCAAGGGGCCGAATGGCCTACTCCTGCTCCTAATTTCTATGTTTCTAGGTTCCTACTTACTGCTGGGTAAACAGCGGCATGTGGAATAAAGAAACTGAGGTTTTGCCCTGCCCGGAAATCGAACCCAGGTCCTCTTCTTGCGAGGTGAGTGCTCCAACCAAACCTATACAGGACTCCAAAAAATCTGGAAACCACGATGGCCGTGGGTGAACAGTGACCCTCTGTAAGCCTCAGTAAGCCTCTGCCAGCGCTGCTCTGAGTCAGTGCATGAGAGCAGGCAAGGAACAACTCCTCCTCTGATTTCCCCTCAGTCTCTGTGGAAAGGAACCTGTAGAAAGGAGCCTCTTCTGCAGTATAGCATGGTGTTCAGCAACTCCACAGTGCAGGAGGAATTACGAGCACAATTCACTTGTTGCATTGCTCAATCAAAGCCGCTGCTATTGGAATATCCAGAGGCTAACTCTTCCGCCTGAGCAACACATGTGGAGTGGGTTTTCTTTTGTGAATTCTCAGCTGACCCACGGTTCAGTGGCTCCAGCATAAAAAGTATGTGAATCCCACAAAAGGCTCATGTTAATGGACGGTGCAGACAGTTGACAGATATGTCCAACATTCAGCATGTCCCTGAAGCATTGGACATCCAACTCTCCGAGACAATGACTTTTTAATGAGCAAAAACCTCAGAGTAACCAGTATTTTGCTAGCCAATAGTTATTAATAGCACAAGTACAGTGCTGTGGAGCAGCTCCATGGATGACACCACTGAAATTGGTATGTGTGTGTGGGTGGTTGAGGTGGGGGGGGGGGGGGCAAGGGGCTCTCATACATCTGGCTACATTTGAGGTGACAAATATTGATTGTATCATGGAGCCACAGTACTATGTGCTGGTTGAAAGCCATAACATCTTATAATAAGACACAATAGCCAGTTTTAATACATATGCCAGCTCACGTCCTACGCTGAAAGAAAAATTGATGACTCTCAGGTCACTGCCAACATCTGTTTCTGTTTGCTGTGCCTACTTCCAGTTCATCAGAGACCTGATGAACTGGAAGTTTTATATTAAGTCCGAGAAGCTAAAATGGTCAACTTCCAGGTCACTACCAACATCAGCTCTTGTTTTGCTGGGTGCCAAGTGATGGTTAGCAGCGACCTAATGACCCAGAAGTCATCCATTTTTGTGAAAACCAGCCAATGCACAGAAAGAGAATGGACCATCTGCACAACTATACTATAACCAAATTCACATAATAAACACTGACACTCATTTCGAACCATTGGATGTTTTGAAGGATTCACAATTTCCACACCCGCGTGGTCAGAAACTGACCACAGCAGTCATGTCACGCAATGGAAAACCAATCACTGCAACTTCCACATTAACCACTCGAGCATCAGGTGGACTGTGTGCTGCTCGGGAATAGGAACTTGTCACAAGGTTCAGGGCAGTCACATTCATTTAAATCAGCTCAGTCAATGACCGAACTCTAACTGTATTTGAATACGTTACCTGCTAGTCAAACCCAGCATGACCGCTTTTTCCTAATATGCTATTTATCATTTCTTAAACAATATATAAAAAGTAATCCACCTCATTTATTATTTTGTTTATGCTGGTGCTCAGTACCATAATTTACATTTACCAAGTAAATGTCCACACCTGGTGGATGAGTGAACCTATTTCACATAAGTTAAGGTTTCTTCATCGGCACATTCATCACATCCAAGCTCGATTAAGCTAATTTCCTACTTGTCAGAACTGCATATCCTGGATGAGAGTTCTAGGCGTGCCACGTACACATAGAAATTCCCATGCAATACTTTATCTAGACTTGGTGAATTAACAGTTATTACTCTTGAAAAATGCTCCCAGAAAAAGTGATAATTATCTTTTTCCAGAGTAAGTGTGTCATAGCATAAACTATCTTTACAGCACAGAAATTTCTGCATGTCATGCTAATTCATATCTCTGATGACAGGTCGGAGGTGAAGTATAGCAGGATGACAAGACTAACAGACAGTTTCCTGCAGAAAGCCCAGTTTATTTTGTGAGGCATAAGGTACCAGAGTTATCACCACCTTACCTTTTTTTGCAGCTCCACTGTATGTGCATGCATTTCATGGTCACTCAACTGTTAAGACTTCATCTGCCGTCAAGCAGTGAAAAGGAGAAAACATGCAGAATTCTGCTGCCAATTTCCACTGTTTATATGACTGAATTTACACTAATTTACAGCTTGTAAGTCTATTTTGTCTTAAAATTGAAACATTGTGCCAAATTCTGGAAAATTCTCAAATTCAGTCTGACTCCAGAAGTCGATTTACTGTACTTATTAAAAAGAAATGACTTCCAAATTAAAATGACTTGACAATTTTCCACAATTTTGAGTAATCTTTAATTTCAAGACAAAGTGGTCTTACAGGCTAAAGCGAGTGGAACTTCTGTCCTTCGTGTCTTATTTTTAGGTCCTTTACACGTGACCTAGCACTTGGTGATCATTTGGAATTCCTGCAGTTGACAGTGATAAATGGAGGTGAGATCGGAGGGTGAATCCCACTTGCACTTATCACCATAAACAGGTTTTAATGCCTTCCAGAGACAATGTTAGAGAGAACGTCTACTCTTACAAGCATCCAGGGTCAAATTCAGGACACAAGGAATAACCATACACTTTATGGGGTTATCTGCCAGCAAGAACTATAAAAATGATAAAGAATTAAAATACAATCGTACCCCATCTCCATCGAAAGCTGCCCCAAACCCAAACTCTCCTCCTTTCATGGCATCTAGCAGAGAGGAAGCATACGTGAGATTGGGGTCTGGATGCTGTCCCCCAAAGTCCTCAAGGGGAACACAATTTACAGCTGAATTTGCAGGTGCCCCTAACTCATCGCAGAGTATCCGTCTCACGTAGGGACCCATAACTGTGGAAAAACAGAGAGTCGTTAGAGAGATGCTGGTTTGTTACCGCACAGTATGGATTTCCAAGAACAGCAACTTATACAGCGCCTTTCTCATATACAATACCTGTCATGTGGAGGAACGTGTTGAAAAGCTTCACAAAGACAATGGTTAGCGGGGGGGGAGATGTGAGGCAAAGGGATCTTGCAACCCTTTAACCAGTGCCATTGAGCTGGAGCCCACCAGAGAAGTGTTACTCAATTGTTTTGATACTAGGGACTAGTAAAAGAACACGTCAGGTCACTCAAGCTAAAGAGATCTTTGGTATAGATCTCTATAGATTACCACAACCTGTCATTGGACTGGCCATTGAAAAACACGGCTTGAGAGGTGCAAGATTTCTTACAGTCCTAGCGTTAAGGCCATTGTCTTAAAAATTAAGATTGGGCCAAATTTTGGAAAATTCTTACATTTAGTTTTAATGTTGTTTTTTTTGAGGAACCATGGAAAACGATCAATCACCATTCAATTCCACACAATGCTTGTAACTTGCCTCCATGCATAGCGTCGATCCTTATTTTGAGCTGATTGGGTCCAGTTAGCAATGCCTTAATTGCAGTGAAGTCAAAGATGGTTCTAAGCATGTTGAGGTAGACCTCCACTGAGTCCACAATTTCAACTGGAAAAACAGAAGAGAATTATAATCAGTGTTGTAAAGCACTCCCTTCTTGCTCCCTGATATTAATATACAATCAACACTTCACTATTAACAATAAGCCTTGCATTTGGTAATGCATCTATAACAATGAGAATGTCTCAAAGTACTTTATAAAGTTTCTGTAGACATGGCAGTAAATTTTGCGCAGAACAATGTCTCAAAACAGCCATGAAGTGAGTGACCAATTTTCTATAAGAGATTATTGGACAAGACACTGGAAGAAAGCAGCACCTTGGTTTAACGACAGTTCTGAAGCACACCTCCAAGTCTGCATTTAAGTGTTAAACTGAGAGCTCCAAGTTCCTTGGGGCCAAGCTGACAAAATGGCAATACAATACAAAATTACATTTGTATAGCGCCTTTCATGTTGAGAGGACATCCCAAGGTGCTGACAATAATAAAGCAAACTTCTTTTAATTACACTTATAAGATCCACTACTGTCGGGGTTTCTGATTGACATACTAGAAATTTCTGTAAACAAGTTGGTACCAAGCAGGAATATCACAGAAAGAATTGCACCATTCACTCCTGACCATTGACTGGCATGAGACACATGCCTCACAATCATTTTAAAGGCTCAGGACAAAATTAGAAGGGAAATTATTAGAATCTCCATTTAGTCTGGATTTCAAAGCCCACACCAATGTCCATGGTGTGTTGCGAAAAAAGGGGGAAAAAAAATTCAAAACATTGATTTTTTTTTCTTCAAAATGAACTAGGGTGTCAGGGAAAACATGGTAATGATTGAGAAATGCAGAAGGAGTGAAATGCAAAGAGAGATACTGTAACAGTGTATGGATTCCACTGTGCTCTTAATGTGCCACATATTGTCAGGCCAATATGCTCAATCTGAATCTTATTGGCATTCACAGTGTGAATGGCCCACGATTCTGCATTCATGTTAGAATAGCTAAACATATTTGGAGCGAAGTAAATATTAACTTGGAAATGTTTAGCAAATGTAAGTGAAATGACAATGAACAAGTGTTGCCAGTAGCTTATGCAGCATTGGACTGTGCAGAAGATGATGTGCATAGCGTTTGGAACCTACACTGTGATTCGAATGCAGCTTTCCACGTCCAAGTATTTCTCTCAAACGATTCACAGCTCAGCACACCAACAAGAATACTACAAATGTTCCACCATTGGCACCAATTCTCGTTAGGAATTTACAGACAGACCATTGTGACACCAAGTATAAAAAGGGATTTCTCAGTGCACGCTCACGCTTGCCAAGGTCCATAAATGTGTAGCTGACTGGAGAATTACCCCATATCCCAATAGATTTTAAGAGCACTTATTTGAGCAACTTTATTGTTGTCAGAACTGTACAGAGAAACAAATAAAATGTGGAGTCCCATAGTATAGTGGTTAGGACCCGGGTTCGAATCCCAGGTGGAGCAAAACTTTAGGCAGGTTTCCTTACTTCACATGCCTCTGTTTACCTAGCCTTAAATAGGATCCCAGTTTGAAGTCGATTGGTGGATCACTTTTTGGCACTAATAACCTACCAACAACATGATAAGGTGCTATATCAAATACAAGGATTATTATAATTATTATTAAAAGATATTATCCAGCAATATTGTGAAACTGTGAAAAGAACAGCTTTTTACATTTTAAAATAATTCTTTCAATTATTCAACCTTGCTGAAACAATAGCAAATTCTTCCAATGAATGGCCTGGAGTCTGGATATGAAGCGATCAGAGTGTTTTCATCAAAATCAGTTGAATCAGAAATTGAAAAACAATTATTTCAATGATTCGATGAATATAAATTGATTCGATGAATATAAATACAAAAGAAACAAAACGTACACTTTACAGTGAATCCTGTGAAGCATTTTGAGATGTCTCAACAGCATGATAAGATGTTTTACCAAATGCATGCATTATTATTATTATAATTTGTTCACTTCATCATGAAAAGGGAAGAGTGCCTCTAAATTGGGGCTCTCACATTGTCACACGTTCAAAAATTTCCTTGGCAATGCAATTAACATATTAGTTTAATCCATCATTTACAGCTGGAAGGCTCCTATACTGACATCATTCCTTAATGAGAACAGACGGATAGGAACAGCTATCATCCACCCCAGCACCAATACTGCCTAACATGTCCAGCTGTCACAGAGAGGCTTGTGTCTCAACAAGTGACTGAGTCTGAATGGGTGCTCCTCAGAGGATCCAACCCCAGCTCCGAACAAGCTTCAACTTCCTTCTTTAATTTCATGAAGTGAACAATGTATAACAATAATACTCTGAGCATTTGATAAAGCATCTTATCATGCATTTGAGATGTTTCAGAATGCTTCACAGGATTTACTGTAAAGTTCAGCGACTGTATTTTGTAGGCGAGATTTTGTATTTTTGTTAAGCAAGATTATATACTAGGAATGTATCTGTATTCTTCACAAAAAAAGTGTCAGATACAGATTATTGCATAATTCTGAGTCACAAATTGGATGCAATTCCCTTCATAGTATCTATAGTAAATTGGGTTCAGTCTGACACTTTCTTTTACAGGTGTAAATATTTTGCTAATGTCCAGAGAGGGGAATCTCCACAGCTGTAACGTCCTATTTTAGCTCAGACTATGCACTTGAATAGAGGTTGACATGAATATTATTGGAATAAATTCCAATAAATTATTGGAATAACTAGTGTTATCTATCCCAATGAGGAGCCCAGTCATATATCCTGAGTTCTGATGGAAGTCCATCGACCTGAAACATTAACTCACATTCCTCTCTCTATAGGTGCCGCTGACCTGCTACGCATTCCCAGCGACTTCTGTTTTTATTTCATATACCCCTTCCTCTACCAAGAGCATTGTGAAACCTATTAAAAAAAACTCCCCATATTATTGCATTTAGAACAAGTAAAAAAAAAGTCGGGACCGAATTTAGCGCAAACAGCTGCTGTGTTTACACACAAAACGTCCTCCCAACGTGAAAGGCTCTATAACAAATGTAAGGATTATTATCATTATTATTAACCTTCAAAACTGAAACACAAAGTGAGTACCAAGCTAGCTATGAAGCTTTTCATTACTTTGGTAAAAGAACACCGATCTAACCAAGCACGTTTCATTATTTTCCTCATTCTATATTTCATAATATATGCACCTATATATAGTGCCTTGTTTTCATAGCTTTATTTACATCAGCTCCCTGATGATTCTATGAATAGGGGAAACATTGGGCTATACAGCTGCAGCATATAGTCCGTGCTGAGCTACATAACCTCAGCCAAACCACTTGGAGCATTTTAATTGACTTTAATTGGTTTAAAGTGGGGGCAGGGGAATCAACCAGGATTCCTGCTTTTGATTTTGTGTTGTGGTTCATTGGTAAGGACAGGATTGGGTTGGCTGTATTGCTGGCCTGTCTTGTTTCATCCCTCCTCCCGTGGTCAACATACTCTTTTATAAATAAATAAATAAATAATTCCCCTTCGCCTGAGATGCCAAGGGTAATTGGTGCCTGTGTAACTGTAGCCCAGAGGAAGCAAAAAACCTTCAGGAGAGAAGGGGAAGGAGAGAAATTTGGAAAAAACTGGAAAGGAAAAGCGATCTACTATCTTGTTCCTTGATCAAGCCAGCCAGGATAATTTAATAATTAATAAAACTTACAGAGGAATTATTTTAATTATTTTAATGGAACTCAATCTGTGTGCCACTGCTTTGTATAAAAAGGCACAAATACTATTCTTTTCAAATTACTATCAATCTTACCATCTGATGTTTATAAATAAGTAAATAAATAATAATACTTGGATTTGATATAATGTAACACCTTATGTCATTGATATAACTCAAAGCACTTCACAGCATTTTACTGTGTATTTTGTAGGTGAACACGGCACCAATTAATGCACAGTAATGTCCCACAATTGGGAATTGTTGGCTGAGAGAAATTCCCCTCTACTTCCTAATAAAACCATGATTTTTAACTTCTACCTGAACAGGTAGGTGGAATGTCTCCTTCAAAAGACAGAGCTCCAAAAATGCAACCATCCCCCAGCACTGCACTGGAGTGCCAGCAAAGCTATGTCAGCTCAAAATTCCTGTTGTGGGGCTTGAACCAAAGGCAAGGGCTACAGCAACAGCAACTTGCACTTATATAGTGATCCTGAGTTCTGATGAAAGGCCATCGACTGAAAATGTTAACTCACTTTTCTCTCTCTATAGATGCTGCCTGACCTGCTGCATGATCCCAACGACTTCTGTTTTTATTTCATATATCCCTTCCTCTACCTAGAGCATTGTGTCAGCGTCTCTGAGGGCTTAACAGTGGCGGAGCCTGACTCCGAGCCAGGGGAGGGGGAAGGTGGCCGTAAGCACGGTCAAACAGGAAAGTTTTCAGGTGGGACTTGAAAGAGGGGAGAGAGGGGGCAAGGCGGAGGGATTAAGTGAGAGTGTTCCAGTGTTTGGGGAGTAGGAGCTGAAAGCACAACCTCCAATGGTGGGGAGTAGGGTGCGAGGGACGAGCAGGAGGCTGGTGCCAATTAAGCAGAGGTGCCGGGTGGTGGATTGGGGAGTGAGGAGGTCGGAGAGGTCGGGAGGTGCCAGGGAGTGAATGGATTTGAACACGAGAGTGAGGATCTTGAAGTCGATCCGTTCGGTGATGGAGAGCCAGTGGAGCCTGGCCAGAACTGATGGGATGTGGGTACAGATTTTGGTCCATGTCAGTATGTGGGCAGCAGAGTTATGAATGAGCTGGATCTTGTGAATAGTGGAGCTGGGGTGACCGGCCAGAAGTGCATTGGAGTAATCCAAGCGGGAGGTGACAAATGCATGCACAAAGGTTTCAGCAGCATTTGGGGTAAGGTACAGTCGGAAATGGGCAATGTGGCGGAGGTGGAAGAAAGCGGTCCTGATCAGGGATCAGATATGGGCAAGGAAGGACAGGTGGGGGTCGAACTGGACGCCTAGTTTGCGCACTGGGTTCGGTGAATCTGAGGGAGAGCCTAGGGAGGTTGAGGAGTTTAGATCTACAGGAGTGAAGACATTGACAGAAGCCAAGAAGTTTGGCTTCCGTCTTGTCCATATTCAGCTGTAGGAAGTTTACATTCATCCAGCCCCTGATGTTTGCCAGACAAGCTGATAGAACATTTGCGGACCTGGAGTTGGTACTGGAGGAAGCAAAGTAGATTTGTGTGTCATCGTCATACATGTGGAAGTTTACCCTGTGTCTGTGGATGACATCGCCCAGAGGGAGCATATAGATAAGGAAAAGAAGAGGGCCAAGGATGAAGCCCTGGGGTACCCTGCAGATGACCAGGTGGGAGCGGGAAGAGAAACCATTTGCTGAGGTGAAATGGAGGCGGTTGGTTAAGTAGTATTCGAACCATGTGAGTGCGGTCCCACTAAGGTGGATGAGGGAGGAGAGCTGATGGAGGAGGATGGCGTGGTCGACTGTGTCAAACGCGGCAGAGAGATCCAGGAAGACAAGGAGGCAGAGGGAGCCCTGGTCACAGATAGAGAGGATATCATCTGTGACTTTGACAAGTGCTGTCTCTGTGCTGTGGACAGGGCAAAAATCAGACTGCAGGGGCTCGAGGAGGGAGTGGCGGGAGAGGTGTGACCGAAGTTGATCTAACATTGCGTTCCAGGACTTTGGCAAAGAAGGGTAAGTTGGGGATGGGACAGTAGAGTGAGAGATTAGAGGGATCGAGAGTGGGAGGGTGGCTACCAACTAAACCAAGCTGACTTGTGGAAGTGGCATATGTATGAATAACTCTCAGTCTCATTTAGACTGTATCCGATCCAGACAGAGCTCTACATATGTATGCCACCTCCACATGCAAATTTCTCTGTGTCTGGAATGGAATGCACACTCTCTCGCTGGAGAGACGCACCCTGCTTAACTAATTCTGGAAAATATTAGCTGCAGGCTCGCGGGAGCCACAGCTTGGGGACCCCAGAGTGTGTGTTGGAGAACTGCTGGAGTCTGACCAGCTAAAACTGTATAGCTTGCAGTTTTGCCTGAAACTAATGACAAGTTGACAGAAATGAAAGAGCCATATTGAACAATGTCGACCATCTGCCTTACATTAAGCCTCAACGTAACTGTATTGTTTCCTCATAACACATGATTGAAATTAATTACCTTAAAACAAAAGACTGTGTAAATGTTGTCAGGGGCCCTACAGCTGCTCAAAATATTTAGATTTGGTTTGAAAACCAAAGAATATTGCTTTGTTTTTGCAAACTTAAATCTGTTTGCATTTTGAAATCTGGATGGATTTAACTTTCAGAGTAAAGTTCTGCTGTGAATTTGGGTGTCTGCCATAGACAGTGGGGGGGAAATTTTCTGGGGTGGGTGGTGGGCTGAGTGGTCAGATCCCTTTAAGACAAGTGCAGCCTTCGTGCCAGCATCAAAGATGGCAGCCTCCCTCTCCCCACACCCCATCACCTCACCATGCAGACTCTGAGGTCCACTAGAGTCTTCGCAGTTGGAGCCATCTTTGAAGTTGGCACAGAGACCGCACTGAGAAGAGAAAGGGAGGCGGAGGTGGCCATCTGACTACAGCTCATCTCCCTTTAAAGAGGTAAGCTCCAGATAGAGCTCCACAACATCTCCCGGCTCCACCACTATCTCACCTCTAAGGCCACCGAAATCCTCATTCACATATTCATCATATCCAGTCCTCCACCCAGCCCAACCCACCATCGGTGACACACTGAATTCAAGTGTGGGATTGCATCCTACAACATATTCCAATGAACCCAAACTATGGATGATGAGTGATGTGTTGTGAGAGCACAATTTTTCAACCTTTCAAAATTAGCTTTACTGTAAAAAAAACTGGAAGTTTTTGTTTCTTTTCCCATCTTTTATATTCTAAACACACTACCTTTAGCATTCAGCAATTCCTGGGTAAAGTGCTCTAAGAGCTCTAGGATGCTTCTTTGTGTGAAGGGCGCTGTATAAATGTAAGTTATTGTTTTTATTTCACTGCAGAATCTAAATGCAGAAAGCACTGACTTATATCTGAAGAAGCAATTTCCAAGATTTCAGATGGAAAAGCAGAGGGAGTGATTCAATCCCTTTTGAAACTGAAAGTTTGGAAACATTTGGTGAATTCCTGGCTCCTTACACATGCACAGAGAGGTCTGCCCTGTTCAGGGCTGGAGTTACTTATGCAGCTGTGTACAATTCGGTGACACACCTCGAAACGGTTTGAACTTGTTCTCCAGATCAAATTCTTGTCTTCCCAGTCGGGAGAGGTCTATTCTCAGATCAGGACAGATGGCGTACTCTTCTATAGTTTTACTGATCTGGTAGATCTTCTCAGTCACGGTTTCGGGAGCCGGGCCTTTTGTTAAAGAGAAAAGTACAAATGGTAAAAGATGACACGAAACCTGCAAGCTCCAAATGAAACCCTGAAGTGTTTCACAATGCACATTTTGCAAACAAACAATGTATGAATCAATCCACTGTTTGTGATTTGCTTACTACTAAGCAAATATTTCCTTCCTTCCCACGTTCGTAGCCCAGCTTTGTGGGGAGCTCTGACTTGGCTATGTCATCTGACTTCTTATTAAAACATTAAAAGCTCCTTCCTGCAGGAGTCAAATGTTCGTTCCTGAGATCATTTTCTTTATCATTTTCAAGCAAGATAATGGGAACTTTCCTTAACTTTTAAATGAGAAAATCAGTGAAACAGTGTTTGGCAGGATACAGTGTATTATGAGCCCTCTCCCTTCACATGTTCAGTTTCAGGCCCAATCTGATAATATTGCAGTAAACAATGCAATGTTTCTTGACAAACATTGTATCCATTTGAAACATCCATTTGTCACCACTATCTCTTGTAAGTCATTTGTTTGTTAAAAGATTTTTAAAAAAGGAAATGTATGTTTCAATTAAATTCTGTACAGTGTTAATCTTTCTCAAAAATGATTTTCCTGGAAACAGAAAATAATTCTAATGAAAATAATATATTTTAATTTCCTGGAGATTACGGGTGCAAAATTCTGCCTTGTCTTATGCTGTCAAACCATTTTGTCTTAAAACTTAAGATCGTAAAGAAACGTAAGATTGTGAAAAATTCTTACATTTAGTCTCAATTTGAAAGCTGATTTTTTTAAAAGAACGAGCGAGTTTTCTGAGTTTTTTTTTCCTGAGTGCCTTTGTGTGTGTCTGGTTTAGGTGGTCCACAGTCCCAGTTACAGTAACTGGTAGTGTAGCATTCCTGAATCAAGGTTTATAGCAGATACCTGGAATATCATATGCACAATAACTATAAAGTCATGAAATGAATAAATATCACTATTGATGTGATCCATAGCACCCTGGTAAATGATTTGAAGGTAACCATTTGCTGTAATCTGAATCCCTGAATAGAATTGTTGCCTTGTAACTCAATCCCCACAGGGCCATTAATGTCCATTTGTATATTAAAAGATCTTCCTGTGACAGTAATCTCCATCAACAAGGAAATCCTGTTGTTGGGCTCACAATAGAAAACAATGTTTTCATTTTTCTATGATTGGTTTAAAAAATAACCGTCAGATCACAAGATTAGATTAGACGAAGAAGGCCCTTCGGTCCATCTGGTCTCGTCCTTTCAGAAGGCTCACCCTTATCATTCTCCCATCATACTGTTGAGCTGTTTTTTTGAATGAGTCTGTTGTCCTGGTCTCAATTACTCTTCCTGGTAACCTGTTCTAATCATTAATTACCCTCTGTGTAAAGAAATACTTCCTGGTTTATCCTGAAATTGACCTTTGCAAGCTTGAACCTTGTTTCTTATCCATTCACAGCTTTATTAGTGTCCACATGTGTCTAAAGTGTATTACATGTCAGTGGGCGACTAATAAACCCTGATTTACAGGAAAAAAGAAGATGCTTCATCAGTTATTATTCCAGTATGTTTCCCCAGCTATTGAATTACACCTTTTAATGAATGAATGACTGTAACAGAAGACACTCACCTCCATTGGCCACATTGAACTTAACTCCAAAGTCCCCATCTGGTCCACCAGGATTGTGACTGGCCGTAAGAACAATTCCACCGATTGCCTTGATCTTTCTGATGATGCACGACACAGCAGGAGTGGAGAGAATCCCATGCTGACCGATCACCAGGCGCCCAATCTGAATAACATAACATTATTCTTGGATGCATGACTCGCAGGAAGGGCTTTTAATTTGCAAATATAGACCAATACATCGAATCCATCACCTGCTGAATGGACTGGAGATTTTACACTATATAGTAAATACAACACACATAGTGATTAGCCTCGTGAGAGTTTGTTTTATTATTATAATAATAAGAATAATCTTTGCATTTGTTATGTTGGTTTATGATTTTGAAACGTTTCAAAGTGCTTCACAGAGTTTTTCTGAAAAGTTTAGTGACTGTGTACATCGCAGGTGAATGCCACAGCAAATCTGAAACTAATCTGAAAATCATTCAAAACTCTGCCACCCACATTCTCACCCGCACGAAAATCCGCTCCCCAATCATCCCAGTCCTTGCCAGACTGCACTGGCTGCCTATCCCAGAGAGGATTGATTTCAAGATCCTCACCGTTGTATTCAAGTCCCTGCACTCCTCTGCACCCCCCTACCTCTCTGACCTCTCTCCTCAAAACAGTACCCGTTGCCTTTGTTCCTCCGGGTCTGGCCTCCTCCTTGTTCCCCGAGTCCTCCGCTCCACCCTGGGCGGCCGTGCCTTCAGCCACTATGCCCCGAGGCTCTGGAACTGCCTTCCTCACTCCCTTCATCTCATTCCCTCCCTTCCCATTTTCAGGTTTCTGCTGAAGACCTTTCTTTTCGATCGCGTCTTTGGTCACCTTCCTCCCCCTCCCCCTTTCTCGGTCCTGGGATCCATTATTGTGAAGCGCTCTGAGACGCCGTCCGGCATGGAGGGCGCTATATAAATCCAAGTTGTTGTTGTTGACCCACAAACAGCCATGGTGTGAATGATCAGTTTTAGCTGGGGATTGTTGGCCAGATCACTGGGACAAACTCCCTACTATTTTTCAATAGAGCCATGAGATCTTTAACATCCACCTAAATAGGCAGACAAGGCCTTGGTTTAACTTCTCATCCTGATTCTTTACCATGATAATGTATAGATGAATTGGACCATTTTTGTGTGTCTATGAATTTACAACAACAAGATTACATTTGTATAGCGCCTTTCACGTCGGGAGGACGTCCCAAGGCACTGGACAGTGTACAGCATTTGGAACCCGAGCTGGTATCAGGACCTGAGAAGGAGGGGAGGGGAAGGGGGATGTCCGATGGCATGGTCGAAGAGGAGGGTCTTGAGGCGGGACTTGAAGGAAGCTAAGGAGGGGGCAAAGCATAGTGATTGGGGGATGGAATTCCAGAGGTTGGGGGTAGAGTGGCTTAAGGCTCCTCCGCCAATGGTGGGGCGGGTGCGTCAGGGGATGTGGAGCAGGCCAGAGCCGGCTGAGCGGAGGGAGCGGGTGGGTTGGTAGGGGGTTAGGAGGTCGCAGAGGTAGGGTGGGGCGAGGCCATGGAGGGCTTTGTGAGGACCAGGATCTTGAACTGGATCTTCTGAAGGATAGGGAGCCAATGGAGTTGGGTGAGAGTGGGGGAGATGGGGTTAACAGAGTTTGATGCAGGAGAGGACACGAGCTGCAGAGTTCTGGATTATCTGCAGCCTGTGGAGGGAGGAGTTGGGAAGGCCGACAAGCAGAGCGTTTACATAGTCGAGCCTGGAGGTGATGAAGGCATGAACAAGAGTTTCAGTGGCCTGAGGGGTGAGGTAGTGGCAGAGTCAGGCAATGTTACGGAGGTGAGGGAAGGCAGAGTGGGTCATGGCTTGGATGTGGGGAAGAAAAGACAGTTGAGGGTTGAACAAGACACCTAGGTTCCTGACTGGTTTGGTAAATTTAGGACTTTAATTACCTTAATGTATTTAATTAAATCCTTGCATTTGATATTGCACCTTATCACATCATTGAGAAGTCCCAAAGCACTTCACAGGATATACTGTAAAGTGAATTACCTATATATTTTGTGGATGAACATAGCAGCCAGTTGCACACAGCATTGTTCCACAAACAGCCATGGCATGAGTGACCAATTTTATGTCGGGAATTTATTGACTAGGACACCAGGAGAAATTTCCCATTCAGATCAGTTGCAGCAGGTCCCACCTTCACTTCATTTGACCTCTTCTCCTCGACAATAGATCTTTAGGCCGGCTCATCAACCTTAATGGCTCCCAACTGGAGACTCCATGGCATAACCATGGCGACAACATTGCTGAGCGCAAGACCCGAGCAGCACAGCATGGATCAGCAGCTGATCTCTATCAATTCCCAATCTGCTTCCTGCTGCTTTGAAAATCCAACTGAGTTTTATTTTAAAAACTTTTAAGCGATACAACAGAGGTACAAACTAAGTTTGTAAATGGAGAGACATTGAGCGGTGCCCCCTCTTCCCCATATTCCTTCTCCTCCTCCTCACTGAAACCACCTCAGATACAGTTACATTTCCTGAACTCTAAAATAATACTTAGGTTTTGACAGGCGAGGATCATATTCCCATACTCTAACTGCCTTGTCCAATCCATACATCCCCACATGCAAAAAAAAACACCCACTGAATTGCTTGCATTAGTAAACCATGACACATTGCAAAGTAAAGCAAACTAAACTCTACCTCATTCCTCTCTGACAGACCAGATGACACTGCAAGCAATTACTTTTTGAGGCTCTATACTTGCTTGCATCAAGAGATTATTCATGTTATAATAAGCAACAGTACATTCTGACAGTGAGATGAGGACATAACCCTCATCTTGAGGATCACTTGGCATCTCTGAACTGTGCAGCCATGAAGCTGTCAAGTTCTATGCAATTCAGTGATGCTGGCTCAAGTCCATTGGATATTAAGCTGGGATCATTACGCTAATTCGCTTGTGACCCACAACAGCAATCACCGGCTACATTTACACCAAGATGTGAAGCGAATGTGATCCTGAAGAATTTGTGTTCACCTCTGGCCTGATTCAGCCCATACTCCAGGCACAATTACACTATCAGCTTCATTCATTCACTTTTTTGTTTTTTTGTGGACAGAAAACAACAGTAAATTTGTCTTAAATTTAAATGTAAACTTTAAATGCAAACCCCTTGTTGCTATGCTGATTTTATGCCCAGCCAATCTGATGTCAAGAGGATGGCATTTTATTGTGAACAGAGACTGTATTAAATAACTGTTTCAATGTCCCAAGGCCCAAAATTCACCTTATGCTTGTGATGTTAAGATTCCCTTCAAAATAATAATAATTTGGTCACTGAATCCAAGACTCTGTGGGACACCGCTGTGTGCAAAATGCACAGTTCACTATACAATATATTCTGTGAAGCTTTGAGACGTCTCAACAATGTGATAAGGCGCTATATCAAATGCAAGAATTATTTATTATAAGATTACTTTGTCTTCCTCCGCAACATTGCCAGACTCCGCTCTACATCACCCCTCAGGCTGCCGAAACCATCACTCATGCATTCATCACTTCAAGGTTTTATTATGGAAACTCCCTCCTGATCGGCCTTCCCAACTCTTCCCTTCACAAGCTGCAGATCATCCAAAACTCTGCAGCTCGTGTACTCTCACAAACCAGGCTCCATGACCCCACCACTCCCACCCTCGCCCGACTCCACTGGCTCCCCATCCCCCAGAGGATCGAGTTCAAGATCCTCGTCCTCACCTTTAAGACCATCCATGGCCTTGCCCCCTCCTACCTCTCTGACCTGCTGACTCCCTACCAATCTGCCCGCTCCCTCCGCTCATCAGGCTCCGGCCTGCTCCATGACAAATAAGTCTAGCTGGAATTTCCAGTGGGTAAGGCAATGACCAATGTAGAGGTACATTAATAAACACCAGAAGGTGACTTTTGGCTAAAAATCTGTGCGGAGTTAGCTGATCGATGCAAAATGCCAGGTATCAGTCTGACTCAGTTTATAGCACCTTTGCCTCTGAGTCAGAAGGTTGTGGGTTCAAGTTACACGACGGGACGTAGAACTCACAATCTGGGCTGAACATCTAATGCAGTGCTGTGAAGTGCTCCATTGTTGGTGCTGTCAACCTGAGGTCAATTGTATCTTTTCAGGTTGACATTAAAGTTCCCAATGCAATATTCAAAAAAGGTAAGGGAGATTCTCCCGGCATCCTGGCTAACAATCCCTTAAACATAATCATTCACTTCATAGGTATTTGTGGGACATTGTTGCAAGCACATTTACTGCCGTGACTCCTACAAAATACACAGTCAATTCACATTGCAGTTCATCCTATAAAGTATTTTGTGATGTTATCCAGATGTGAAAGCTCCTCCCTTTTCTGTTTAAATAGTGCTATGGGATCTTTAACGTACAGTTGAACAGACACAGACAAGACCTTGGACAAGACACAGATAAGACCTTCATCTGAAAGACGGCACCTCCAACAATGCAGCGCACCCTTAGGACTGCAGTGGAGTGTCAGCCTAAAGTTTGACTGTATTCAAAGTCACAACTTAGGGCTTGAGCCCACAACCTTCTGACTCATAGACCAGTGTGCTGACAGTAGGATAGCATTAACGTACCCTTGAATGTACAATTAACCAATAAAAGAGTCAGAATCACCTGTGGTCCTCTTCATAGATGCTAATCAAAATGAATTTGTATTGTTAAGGTGCCTGTTGATCATCACAAAATGCTTTGCTGTAAATACTATCACATGTAGTGGCTATTTTTGTAGCTAAAGAAACTTATTACAATACAATATTGTTCATATTTATTTAGCACCCTTAACATCAGGAGTTCTCAAAGCACTTGAGAAAGCTAGATGGGCACCAAGCTGGGGGTGGGAGCCGAGGGCGACATAATTGCATAATTATGGGCACTTGCATATCTTTGTTCAGATTGTAAGATATTACCCAACATGCAAAACTATTAGGAATACATCTCCGAAAAATTCATAATTAGGAGTGATCCAATAACTGATCTATCAAAACATGGTATTGATCCAGTCATACACCACAACATGAAATGTATTTATGAAAGGAGTCACTTTTTTAAAAAAAGTTCCAGACATTTGTGACTTACAAATTTGAATACTGATGC